TTTTTATGCCTGGACAAAATATATAAATTTATGTGCAATAGTAATTACATATGGCATTTCATTTCAGGATAAAAATTCTTTTGCTAAACTGAAGAATATTCCTAGGGGGGGTTGGAGTCGTGCCTAGCACATGTGAGGCACTGGGTTCGATCCTCAGCACCACATAAAAATAAATAAATAAAATAAAAGTATTGTGTCCATCTACATCTAAAAAAAATTTTTTTAAGAAAGAATATTCCTAGGTTGGCTTATTCTTAATTGTGAGCAGTAATTTTCTAAAATTCAACTTCCTATTTGATAAATGAATAAAATAAACTACTTTTTTCATATTTTCAGTAGAAAATGTTTAAAAATGAAGCAAACAAAATGCAATTAAAATGTATTCAATGAAATATGGTAATTTTCACATTTTATTTCTTTTAATACTGTTTCTTAAATATATTCAGCCTCTACATTTTCCTTGCATCGTCTGGCAAGTCTTTGTCTCAGATCTTGTTTATTATTCCTTTTTTTCTTTAAACAGATGACATGGCATCTTATGCCTGTCCGGCAGAGGGAGGGGGCATGTGCCAACTGGGTTGTGTTTGAGAGGACTGTGGGTTTTCTGATGGAGAATGTTGGCTGCCTCATTGATTGCACCAATAAAAGCTAGGTTACTCTACAAAGGTGCCAGTGGGGGAGAGTAATGAAGGTATTATCCAGCCAACAAATAATACTCTACTTCTTTCTCCTAACAGAGATGAGAGAACAAAAGTCTGTTATAGGATGCAGTGGACACCTGCAATCCCAGTGACTCAGGAGGCTGAGGCAGGAGGACCACAAGTTTGAGGCCAGCCTCAGTAACTTAGTGAGGCCCTCAGCAACTTAGCAAGACTGTCTCTCAAAATTAAAAAATCAAAAGGCCTGGGGATGTAGCTTAGTGGTAAAGTGCCCCTGGTTCAATATCAGGACCTCTTCACCCCCACAAAAAAAATTGTTATGACTAATTTTACCCTAAACAAATAGTTTATACAGAACCAAAGTGACCTACTCACAGTTCTCTACCACATTCTTCTTCTCTAACTCATGGATTGTGTGGTAATAGCATTTTGCGTCATCCCAAGATGGTCTGACTTCCCTCTTAGGAACTGCCAAAGTTCCTTGCCCCTGCTCTATGGCTTCCCAGAGAGAAATCTGGTCTGTCTGGTTCTCAGGTCTAACAGTGTCTGGCACATAGGATATACTTAATAAACATGAGTGCATGAGTTGTTTGAAACCTAAAGCAGGGTTCTTATCTTCTGTGTCTCTTTTCCTCATCTATGAAAAAGTCTAAGGTTTATAGTGACRACTGCATGAGTCAAGGGTCCCACATCCCTCCAATCTGATTGCGATTTCCTAAAGCCAAGAATTACGTAATATTTCTCTATCTCAATGTTAGTGCCTAGCCRTGCTTTTTTTTTTCTTAAATTATTTAACGAATACTTTGCATCAGGCCCTCTTCTAAAAACTTTATCATTAGGCAGCGTGGTGCACACCTGTAATCTCAGCTATTTGGCAGGCTGAGGCAGGAGGGTCACATTATCAAAGCCAATCTGGGATATTTAGTAAGCAGCTGTCTCAAAATAAAAATGGGCTGGGGATGTAACTTAGTGGTAGAGCACCCCTGGTTCAAGCCCCAGTACCTAAAAAAAAAAAAAGTACTTCACTCACTCTGCCTTACTATACTGCCTCACCTTACTAATGGTTGTTGAACAATGAAAAGGAAATTTGGCATCTAAAGAGAAAATTGGAAGGGTAGAGTATTTATATAAAAGAAATCCAAATGATTATTATTTTTCCTGCTATTCCATACATAGTTGATATAGGACAAATGTTGTCACTGTATAAATGTAATGATAAAACCTAGGCTGATTTGAATACTTGAAAAGGATTTTGCTTCTTGGCTAAAAATAAATAAAACTATCAAATTGGTGAGTCACTTTAAGTACTCAAAAATAATTTCAATTTCCATATGTGACTTAAGTCCTCAGTAGTAAATTATACAAACTCACAACTGGTTAGAAGTTCAAAATTAGGTGGGTGGTACTTAGGAGCGGGGGCAGGAGGATTGCAAGTTTGAGGCCAGCCTTAGCAACTTGGCAAGATCCTGTCTCGAAATTTAAAAAATAAATAAATAAAAAGGTCTGAGGACATAACTTAGTGATACAGCATTCCTGGGTTCAGTCCCTTCCCAGTAATGAAAAAAAAGTTCAAAATTTAGTTATTTTGCTAGACAATTATATTAAGTTTGCTAGAATTGCTGTAACAAAGTACCACAAACTGTATGGCTTAAATAACAAGAATTTATTGTTTCACAGTTATGGAGGTTGGAAGTCCAAGATCATGGTGTCAGTAAAGTTGGCTGTGAGGGAAGGATCTGTTCCAGGCCACTGTGGATGACCAATCTGTGTTTTCACTTCATTTTTCCTGTGTGTGGGTCTCTCTCTGTTTCCAAATTTCCCTCTTTTTATTTTTCATAGTACTGGGGATTGAACCCAGGGATGCTGTACTTTAGAGTTATATCCCAGCCCTTTTTATGTTATTTTAAAATTTTAAGACAGGATCTCACTAAGTTGCCCAGACTGGCCTTGAACTTGTGATCCTCCTGTCTCAGCCTCTTGAGAAGCTGGGATTATAGGTGTGTGCTACCACTCTTGGCCTCCCCTTTTTTTTATAGGGACATTGATCATACTAGGTAGTAATTTTAATAAGATCACATTCTGAGAAAGTGGGCATAAGGACTCCAATATACTCTCTTCTTTGGGGGAGGGTGTACAATTGTACCCGTAATAACAGAAGACATGGGGGAGGGTAAGATTCTGGGTCTGAATTCTAGCTCTTCTTTTATTAACTGTAAGACCTTGCTGTTTCTTATTTCCTTCCTTTAAATGAAGATAAGATAGGTAGTATCTTCCTCATGCTGTTATGAGGATTAAATTAATTTGTCCAGGTAACACTTAGAATTCTTAGTGACAGAATACATGTGAAATATTCATTCTTTTTAAAAAGAGTCATCAAATATCTACCATGATCCAGGTATTGTTTGAGCTGTTTGAAATACAGAAGCAAAGAAAATAGACAAAAATATCTACCTTCATGCAGCTTTTAAACTGGTAGAGAAAGACAATAAAAAAGTGAGAACACTTAGAATATCAGCCAATGGAAGTGCTGTGGAGAAAAATCCAGCAAGATAAGATCTAGAGACTATTGGGTGTTGCAATTTGGGATTAGGGGTACAATTTGAGCAAAAAAAAAATATAATGGGAGGAGACAGTTAAGTAGTTTTCTGCAGAAAGTTTTCTTGTTTTAGATAGAGGAGGGTTTCTGCACCTCAACACTCTTTTATATTTCTAGTTATATTTCTAGTTATAGATGGACATAATACTTTTTTATTTGTTTATTTGTTTTTTAAATGTGGTGCTGAGGATCAAACCCAGCGCCTCATTTGTGCTAGGCAAGTGCTCTACCACTGAGCCACAACCCCAGCCCACCTCAACACTCTTGATGTTTGGGCCTGGATAATTCTTTGTTGTGGGGCTGCCTTGTGCATTGTAGGCTGTTTAACAGTATTTTTGGTCTCTTTACACTAGATGTTAGCAGTCTTCCTCTCTGCAACCCCCAGCTGTGGCAGTCTGATCACAAAATGTCTCTGGACATCACCACATAGAGGGCAAATCAAATTACTCCTAGTTGAGAACCAGTAAGAGAGAAGAAAAGTTAAAGCCCAGAGACTGGAGCTTGTTAGAGGCAAAGCAAGGAGGCAGGCAGTAGGGGGGGAGGGAATCAGAAAGGGGAGGGATGAAGCACATCACCTGTGACCTGGAGACCACTCTTTAGACAAATGGGAAACCACTGGGGGTTATAAACAAAATCACAATGTGACCTGTATTAAAAAAAAAATCCCTCTGCCTGCCTGATTGAGAATTAACTATAGGTTAAAAGACAGAAATGGACAGCAGGATTGAGAGATTATCATAATAATGCCATTGATTTTCTATATAGTTTAATTTTTTCATTGATTTTCCTGGTTGTCGATGGGGGCAGCTAAGAAAGCTTAACTAAGATGCCCTGGGGAAAAAATGGCAATTAAGCCAATTTGATAGCAAAGGACAAAGAGGGAATATGTTGGGTGCAGTTTGTGCACAGAGCCTTGAATACTGAGAAATTGGAGCTCTAGTCTGTCAGTAACAGGGAGTCTTTGAGCTTGTGCAATGGGAAACTCAGCATCAGTGTGCAGAATAGAAGTCAGAATAATTTCAAAAGGTATATCCTAAATAATATGGGTGAGAGACCCCAAGAGCTGAGATGTGGGTAGAATAAGAATATGGCACCACACCATGAAGGAAGCAAAGGAGGTCCTAAGGTTTAGACCTTACAATCTTTTTATTCTTCAGGGTAATTGTGTTTGTAAGAGGTGCAGACTTTTGTTTCCACTGAGAGGGTTTGTAATCATTTCCAGGATATCYGATATCAAGCCAAAGCAAGCCCACCAAGAGGTTTCAGAAGTGTAGTACTTGGGAAAGGGATGCCTTAGAGGAGAGTGTGTTAGCTTTCACCAAAGGTCTTTTCAAGCAGACTAGCAATTGTAGGTGAGAAAACTGTCCCGAATCCTGGCACAGGGAGAGAACAGGCCTGCATCCAGAGTTCTTTCAGGATGGTCTTACATTTCCATCTTTAAACCTTAGCAGGTTTAGCAGGGCGGTGTAGGTACACCAAACCAGTCCCACTAAATCACAGGCAGGCTCAACAAGGACCTCTGCCTCCTTTAGGTCTTTTTGTACTAACCGGATTTCAGAAATGAACCCACAAAAGACACAAAATACGCCTCCTTTCCCTCACTCGTTTTATGCCCAGTTGGTTTAAGGCTGTAACAGCTGGGTTCCACCGGGAGAGATGCTGGCCTGGCGTGTCCAGGGCGTGGCGCTTGCGGTCGAGAGCCGGGCGGGGGAGGGAGAGGGGCCGTACCGGCCGGGCGGGGCGAGCAGGGCACGCGCCCGGAGACGCGTTTACGCGCAGCGGTTCCCCGCCCGCCGCCGCCCCCGCCCCAGTCTGCTTCGTTCTGCGTCCACCCGGCACTCGGAGCAACCCCGGTGGCTGCGCGACAGTCCCCGCCATGTCTGCAGCCATGAGGGAGAGGTTCGACCGGTTCTTGCATGAGAAGAATTGCATGACCGACCTCCTAGCCAAGTTGGAGGCCAAGACCGGCGTGAACCGGAGCTTCATAGCGCTCGGTGGGTGGTTGGGCCCTCCGAGGGTCGCTGCTTCTGGCCTGGCACTGAACTCGCCCTGCACCAGCTGCTGGGAAAAGACGCGGGGCGAGTGCTCCTCAAAGGCAGACGGGGCGAGCAGCATCCTTGGGGACAGAGCTGGTCTAGAAAGCACTGGGCAGCTCGGGCTGCGGGGTCGTGGGCCTTTGCCTGCGGACCAGGTAGCGGGGCAGGAAGGGTGGCGTCTGTTCCCGGGGAGCGGGAAAGGGCCAGCGCTGACGTGTCTGTCCCCGCGGCTGGGCGAGTGTCTCGGTGGACCTGCGCGGGTTTCGCGCCGAGCGCCGGGGCCCTGCGAGCTGGCTCGTTATCGGAAGTAAATGGTAGTGTCCAGACCTTAACCAGAGCTCCGCGGTAGGGGCAGTCTCCGGTTTGGGAGGGCGGGACCGCGAGCAGGTGAGGGAATCCCAATCTCTCGACCCTCTGCAGAGCGAGCTTCTCGCTGCTGCGCAGCGCGGCGGAGCTCCAGCAGGACGGCCGGCGGGGTGCTTCCCCTGGCCCTCTTGGGCCCCCGGGGTGGGTACGCGGAGAGGCAGGAACACCCCGAGGGAGGGAGGAAAGGCACGGAGGTGGGGGTTGCCCGGGATCCCTAGAACCGAGGCAGCGCCCCACGGAGGCGCAGGCCCAACCTTCGTGTGGTTTGTTTTTCTCATTTAATCGAGTGTGGAGCCAAACGCCTAGAATAGGCCAAGTCCTGTCGTTTGGACAGGGGCTGCCCCGCTTGAATGCGCCTCTTGCCATCCGACCCATTTTTCTTATCGTATGTCTCCCTCAAGGTGTCATCGGGCTAGTGGCCTTGTACCTGGTGTTCGGTTATGGAGCCTCTCTCCTCTGCAACCTGATAGGATTTGGCTACCCAGCTTATGTCTCGTAAGTGGCTCACCCTTGCAAACATCCCTTCCTGTCCACTTCCCTCTCTCCATTTAAGACTGCTGTAGCAGAATACCTATGTATCTCTGTCTGTCTGTCTATCCCCATTTTCCAAGAGAGCAGTAAAAAAGTGCCAGAGGTAGTACCTACTGCTTAAGGTTACACATTTTGGAGCCTTAACTTGGTTCTTGATCAGGCGACTATAGGAAAGGTATTTTTTCATCAGGTTATATTGGGAGGGWGTATACACTCTCATGCATGTACAAATGGGTGTGTTAGATAGATCTCAGACATCCTGCTTTTTCTAATGGGGAGATCGAAACAGGTATAGGGAGCTGATTGCTTTTCCCCAACAATCATTTTCATGGACATTTCACCACATGTCTATGTAAATAGACTGCAAARCCCATCAATTAGGACTTTCTTCATAGAGAATTATTAATTCAGACAAGAGGGAGAATTTTAACTTTTTGATTTTATAAAAGGCCAGTATTACCAGTAAACTTGGGAAATGCTTAATCTAACAAACCTTATAAAATGCATCCATAATGTAACTCCTTGATTGTATAAATGACTCATTTTTGTAATTAAACTAAATTAAAAATTAATCTTATAAGGTTGGGAACTAATGAGGTTTTTATTTTATAATGTGTTTATTTTGAAAATGCTCTACATTTCATTATCGCCACTTATTCAAATAGGAATTATTCCTCTCCACAAATGCATTTTGTTTTATTCTGTAAGAAAGCTGGTTGGCTTTTATCTTCATTCAGCTGATTTCTGGAACTTTTCCCTATCTGTAGGGATAAAAGTAAAGAGAGAAAATTTTCAGCTGAGAAGCTGAGACAGATAACACATTATTATACATTGTGTCTATTGWTGGTCAGGCTAGAATTTAATATATGACTAGAAGGGAGGAAACATTTTAGAAATAGGTCTGATTTGAACTAATAAACTGCAGTTGCATAAGTAGTTGTTAGTGTATTAGACTGGTATAGACAATTAGTCATATAATAGAAACTCTTACTTTCAGGACACTGCTTGCTGGTAAAACTAGAGATCCTTAATTTTTAAATTGAAGAGCTTTTATCCTCTCCAGCATTATCTACTAATGCACAAACCAGGTTTTCCACATATACTAAGAGTTCCTGAAATCAGATAAGGAAAACTGGTTTTGCTTTCAATTAGGTAAAAGATATACAATAACAACAATTTTCCTTAAAAGTTAATCTCCTGTTAGATGGTGTATTGAAAGTGTGTAGGCAACTGATTCAAAATGGCTTGCACGTTGCTATGACTGTGTAACAGACAAAATAATCCTGTAGTGTACTCCTTTACCACCTTCTTTTTGTTTGTGCTACTTGTAGTTCTTCTGGTTTTATTTTTTGGTACTGGGGATTGAACTCAGTAGCACTCTACCACTGAGTTACATCCCCAGCCCTTTTTATTTTGAGACAGGGTCTCACTAAGTTGCTTAGAACCTTGCTAAATTGCTGAGGCTGTCCTCGAATTTTATCCTCTTGCCTCAGCCTCCTGAGTTGCTGGAATTACAGGCTTCAGCCATCAAGCCTGACTTCTACTTGCAGTTCTTTTAAAAAAGATTTTGAAGCATTGTCAGGTGTGTGCTTTAGATATTATGGATCACATGTGGAACAAATCTTGAGTGGCAGTTTAGTAACTGCCTTTTTGTTTGATATTCAACGAGCAAAGAATGTGAACTTTTAAAAATACTAAATAACATAATAATTTTTTTTCCCTATATCAGTGCCATTTGGTACCTAATTATGTGAGAAACATTAGTTTCTCTTTTGGTGTGATTAGTTTATCTGTGTGAGCTGTAGAAAAATCAAAAATCTCTTTCTATATGGGACATGTATATTTGTGGATGTGTGGAAGTTGATGTGACTGAAAATGTGGACAGAACTTGAATATGTTTTTCTGTGGAAGTGAATTAATTCTAGCAGGGGCTATTTTCAGGCATATTTCAAAGTGTTTTTAAGTCAGCCAATTTCTGCTTCATAATTTCTACATTAATTTTCTACAGAATCCATTCCATATTGTTGGCTCTTTTTACTTAGAAGAAGCTAAATGTTTTTGTCTTTTGCTAGAAATTTGTGAAATAGTAGAGCTACTCATATTTCTGAGTAATGCAGGAAGGTAAATTTTACATATTTTAGAATTCTACTGACCTAGTATATGCACTTTATTTTCTTTTCAATTTGAGTATTCTGAGACAAAATTATGTTTCTATTACATCTTAATAGGAATTGGAGAAATATTAAAAATCTGAGTGCAGTGGCGCAGGCTCATAATCCCAAGGACTTGGGAGGCTGTGGGAGGAAGATCACAAGTTCTAAGCCAGCCTCAGCAACTTAGTGAGACCCTGTCTCAAAATTTAAAAAATGCTGGGGTTGTGGCTCAATGACAGTGTCCCTGGGTTCAGTACTCAGTATGGGGGAGGGGGAACGTAGTAAATGGAACTTAGTAATTTAAGCAAATTCAGGAAAAAAAATATATTTTTTAAGAGAATTTTTTTAAAAATATTTATTTTTTAGTTTTCGGTGGACACAACATCTTTATTTTTTTATTTTTATGTGGTGCTGAGGATCGAATCCAGCGCCCCGCGCATGCCAGGTGAGTGCATTACCACTTGAGCCACATCCCCAGCCCAGGAAATTATATTTAATGAGTATTTTTTGATTGTTATTCATGAATGCCTAAATCATAACCCCTATAGATTCTTGTATCATTGGTTTGAGGTATGTCCTAAATTTTGGGGGTTTTAAAAGTTCCTCAAGCTTTTATAATTTTTAAAGCATTCTAATATTCAGTCAATGTTGAGAGCCCCTGGTATACAATGGTGGTAATAACCTGTGCTTTTTGCATGTGAAGAGGAATGGCTTACTGACCCTGTGAATAATCCAGAAGCCTACCTGGGATTCTTTTGTGCAGGAAACTCAAAGAAAACTGGGAGTGTATACACAATAAGAGTACTCCTAGTTAGTAAAATTTCAGGCTGTTAGAATCATTATAAGTAGCTCTATTCGTTGCTTGTTGCTTAATCAGTGTGATTGTATAATTGTCCAGAAGAAAGAAAGTCCTTGAAAATGGTGGTTTCTAGTAGCACTCAAATCATTGATGCTTAAAACATGACCTGTAATCACTTTCTTAGTCTAGTTGGGTTACTCTAACAAAATACCTTAGTTTGGGTGACTTTAAAAAAAAATTTTTTTTTTTTAGTATAGATGGGTACAATACTTTTATTTTATTTATTTATTTATTTTTATGTGGTGCTGAGGATCAAATCCAGTGCTTCACATGTACTAGGCAAATGCTCTACCTCTGAGTTACACCCCAGCCCCAATCTGGGTAATTTTTAAACAACCGAAATTATTTGCTCACTATTCYGTAGGCTGGGAAGTCAAGACCCATGCTCCAGCTGATTTGGTATCTGTTGAGGGCTTGTTTCCTGTTTCAAAGATGACACTTTCTTGCTGCATCCTCACATGGCAGAAGTGGCAAATAGTTCCTTTTATAATGGCACTAATCTCATGAGGGCTCAGCCCTCATGACCTAATCACCTCCTAACAGGCCCATTTCTTCATATGAACACATTGGGTGTTRGATTCCAACATATGAATTGAGAGAGAAAACAACATTCAGACCTTAGCAGTTATCTTTAATTATATTCTCYGTGCTTTTCATAATTCCTATTATGCTGCCCAGCCAGTTATTTTTGTTCTTTTTTCATTTTAATTTTTTGATGCTAGGAATTGAATCCGGGAGTGCTTTACCACTAGCTACATCCCCAGTCCTTTTTATTTTTTTGAGACGGGGTCTTACTAAGTTGCTGAGGGTCTCACTAAATTGCTGAGGCTGTCCTTGAACTTGTGATCCTCCTGCCTGAGCCTCCTGAGTTGCTGGGATTACAGGCATGTGCCACTGTACCCAATTATTTTAAAAAATACAGTTTATTTATTTAACAAATATCAAATGCCAGCACCGTAGTAATAGCACTTCAGATGTGGCAGGGAGTATGCTTTCTCTCTCTCTCTCTTTTTTTTTTTTTTGGTGGTGGTGGGGATTGAACTCAAATTTTTGTACATGCGAGGCAAGTGCTCTACTACTGAGCTACAGGTTCCCAGCCTCTGTCTTGAATAATCTGCTTGGATAAATAGTGACAATGTGGTAAGCCCCTCAAAGAAAATGAATAGGGAGTTTTGTGGTAGAGGATGACAGGAAGACTCTCTTTGGATATTTATGTGAGGTACTGTTTGAGTTGTAAAGGGGCCAGCTAAGGGGAGAGCCAGGCAGAGGAAGTGAAGTGGGCCAGGCCCTGAGGCAGCAGGTCTATGACTRGGAAGAGTGGGGAGGGAGGTGCCACGGAGATATAGGTGTATCAGTAGGGAGGGCTGGGACAGAGAACCAGGTGTAGCACATTTCATTCCAGATGGTTGTACGGAGTTTGCATTTTTCTTGATTGCCTCAGATGGGTATTAAATAGGAGGTAATGTGACATGATTTACATTTTAGGTAAGGTAAAATGTAAGTGACTGCTATAATTTCTGGAAGGAGTTGGTAATCCTGTCAAACTAATTTTTTTTTTTTAAAGTTCAAGGGATTGAACCCAGAGCTTCATGCATGTTAGGCATGTTGGGGGCGTATCACTGAGCTACTCCCCCAGCCCTATCCTGTTAAATTCTTGCCAGAAGTGTATTTCCTTTTCTTTCCTTACCTTTCATCTTTTATTCTTGCTGTTTCTTCTCTTTCGACCATCATAGGGAGCAGTACACAGATTGKGTACAATGGTTGATACTGGGCCCAGAGCCTGCAGAAATGAAATTCAGAAAAGYTGATTTGACTTCCTAACTTCTCATCACTCACCCTCATGGGAAATGCATGGGTGAGACTCAGGTGTACCCGGCTCTAGGGCAGTCCTCACTCAATATTGGAGCAGGTAGACAGTTAAAGACTTGTTCAGTGATCACTGGGGACAACAA